ATCTCCAGAGAAAGAACTGGTACAGCCTGAATGTAGATCAAAGATACTTTTTCTTTACTTTCTTTAGTTTTCTTGGGAGTTTTTTTGTCTATGTTTTCTTTCACAGAATGACTTACATGGAAATGTGTTTTGCATGACTACACATGTATAACCTATGTCAAATTGCTTCCTTCTCAATAGAGGGGGAAGGGAGGGAGGGAGAGAATTTAGAACTGAAAATTTGAAAAAAAAAAAAAAGAATGTAAAAATTGTTTTTACATGTAATTGGGAAAAAATAAAACATTAAATAATATTTTTAAAATAAAATAAAATGCTTCCTCTTCATCTCATCCTTTTTTATTTCTCTGAAGTCTTGGAATATATGGCACAATAGATTCTGTGTATAATTTATTAACAAACCTATCCAAATTGAATAAGTAGGCTTAAAAAAACATCTTACTAGTTGGGTGTTCAGAGACTCCTCTTCTAGAGAATCAAAATATCCACAAATGTCTCAGCATGGTTAAAGTCCCAAGTCCAAACAGGACCACCAAACAATCCACCCCAGTATTCCTTCTGAAGAAATGACTCTGCTTTGACTTTCAGCTTGGTGGTGTAGTAGCTAGAACACAGGTCTTGGAGCAGGAAGACCTGAATTCACGGCCTTCCTCAGAGATTTCCTAGCTGTGTGGACCTGGGCAAGACACTTCACTTCAGACTAATCCTTCATCTGTAAAATGAGGATAATAATAGCACTAACCTCACAGGGACGTTGGGACAACATATGAGCAGTGCTTTGCAAAACCTTAAAGTGCTATATAAATGCCAGCTATAATCAAGACTAAAAGCATACTCCTATCTCACCTGACAAAATGCATTCATTTTAAATGATTCGTTTAACATGCCTAATTTAGCCTTACAGTCAGATGACATACTCGAGTCAGAGACTAACTAGACGGTTAAGTCATCACGCACACAAAATCAAAGTATCATTAGTCAAGATTTGACAAGTGTTAAAAACAGCAGGGAGTGACTACACTGAGTAGATCTCTCAAATAAACTTGAACATTTCTAGCTTTTAAATCTTGGACAAAATCCATTAGTTTCCCCCAGAAGGCAGTTAAGAAAAATGGGTCTCCTTAGTACTGATTAAAAAGCTCATGCTACATTAATAAATTAAAGTGATCCCAATGTACAGGAAAAGTGTCCTTGGACTTCAGTTTTCAGGAACTACAAGGAGCCTGATCAAGTCCAAACAAAAATTACTTCTGTGTTATCTATGAGCAGTTTCAACAACCAAGTGGGGGAAATGGGTCTAAGCAACTTCACTACTGAAGCTGTTCCATCAAATAAATACTTTATAAGACTGAAGATTTGCAAAAGAAAAAAAAATTGTATGGAATATACTAAAATCTTAGCAAAAACCATGATATATTTTATACAGGCAACTAATTGATTTAAACTCACAGGAGAATTTTCTTCATTACATATAACTTAGGTTGGTTTGTACTGTTCTCATTGTATATGGGCACTTTCCTCCAAAACTGTCTAAAACTATTTTATACTAATTTCAGCCAATAATTTTTCTCTTGCCTTTTTTTGTTTAAAAAAAGAAGCTATCCATAACCCTGTTCCCAAATAAGAAAATGGTAACTACAGTAATAATTGCTTAATTAAAACAAGATAATGGAAATGCTTAGAATGTTCTACTCTACTAAGATTATTTTTTGGTTGAAAAGTCCAAGTGAATTCTTTCCCAAGAGGCCTCATGGCTTCCAATATTTTGTTTTAATACTCAAGGCCTAAATTTCAAAGAGCTCAACACTAAGGATAGGGACTAGAATTGTGCTTTTCACTGGTATAGAGAACTCCCAGGTGAAGAAACTCACTCTACCAATGCCAAGTGATCACTTTCTCACAGAGTTCCTTGTCAGTATCTGTGCAAGGTTAAGTGACTAGGGTCACAAGGCTAGTGCATGTCAGGGGCATGTCCTAGGCCAAGTTTCTAAGCACTATGTCAAACTGGCCTTCCAACACTGAAGGAATTAAATGCTTCAAAAAAAAATGTCACTAGTCTTTTATCTATAAAGCGTTTGCCTTAACATATGTTATTCTCATAAGTTTGTTTTTATTTGCTTTGCCCACTTGGCTTTTAAGATATACCATTTAATTATTTATGCCACATAATTTACATGTTTAACCTAAGAAAAAATAACTTTAAACATATACAGTAACAATAGTGTTTCCTTTGCTTAAAGCAGTGTTTCATATGGGATCACTTGAAGCGCACTGGGAGCCAGAGCTGACAGTATCACATTCTGCTAATAGCTAGTTTCACCACCATAGACCTATCTAGTTTCTTTGTGTAAGACAAGTGAAACATAAAAGATGAAAGAGGACAAATGGCCAAAGGCGAGTTAAGAATAGAATCAAGGTGCTATTACCAACAAAGATAAAACACTTTTCCTTGATAGAAGGCTTCTTAAAAGCAAAAGCTTCTTGTTAAACAGCCTGACCAATTACTTGCAAATACCAAATAATTTTTAAGGTTAGGTAAAAAGGTAGTTCCAGAATTACACCAAAAACAAAATGACATACATTACTACAAATTCAGAAGAGCACAACTTCCAGGCTGAAGGACTTAAGAGCTAGAAACAGCCCTAGAGGGCATTTAGTCTCACCCTCGGGGAAGGGGGCCCAGGTCAGTTTTAAGTGACATGCCCAAGGTCACACACATAATACAGCATATAGAACTGTGATGCTATGTGAATCCTGGGCCTCTGACTCCCGATCCAGCATGCCTTCCAATGTACTCCCTCCAAAAGTCACCAGGCTCTGGTGATCCCCTCATACAAAGAGGTTGAAGCAGAGCACTGAATTAGGAGCCAAACAAAAACCAATTCAGCCAAAGCTTGCTGTCTGAGACAAGTCATTTACAGAGTTTGTACAACTCATAACAGAATTTGTTTCTGTACTAGAGTAGGACAAAACAAAGTGGGTGCTCACTGATTGGGGATGGGCTGAACAAATTGTGGTATATGGATGTAACGAATATCACTGTGCAAAGGAAAGTCATTATGATGAATTTAGAGAAGCATGGGGAAATTTGTATAACTGATACAGGGTGAATCAAGGAGAATTAGAATATTCACGATGACTAAAAAAGCCATACCAAAAATACTAGAATTAAGACAAATACCAAGTAATTTTAATGACCTATCTTGGGAAAGAGATGAATAAATGCACCTGTCTCCTTTTGGTAGAAAGTGGGGGAAATGCATCTCACTCACTGTCTCCCATGACAGACAAATTGGCTCAAGAAAAACACAGGTAGGTTTCTGTGACAAGCTGGATGACATGTAAAACTGACTATCCATTATCTTTTCAGATGAAGCAAACAGTTAAGGAAATGGCTTCTCAGGTGCAAGGTAACTGCAGTTGACCAAGTGCTAGAGATGGACTGTTGCTTTGCTACATATAGGGCCTATCTGTGTGGCACAATGTGGAAGGAGTGCAGGAACAAAGAGCATGCCTCCATCTCTCCGCTTCATCAGTTTCTCTGGCTGTCCCCCATGACTGGAGTTCTCTTCCTCTTCATCACCACTTCCCGGCTTCCTTCAGGCCCCACCTTCTACAGGTAGCCTTTCCCTATCTGTCTTAATTCTAGGGTCTTCCTCCTGCTCACTTCCTATTCATTCCATATAAAGTTGGTAAATTATTTGCTTGTAGGTTCCCTCATTAGTGAGCCCCCTTGAGGGCAGGGGCTGTCTTTTGCCTCTTATTGTATCCCTACATAGTAGGTGCTTAATAAATGCTTACTGCCTGAATGACTAACCATAAAATCTACCTCACAGTTATAAAGCTCACATGAAAATAGGAAGTAAATAAAAGCACACACTATATATAGTATGTAGATATATAAAATACATAAATGCTTGATTTATGCTCTATCCAAGTAAGCTTGGTACAAACGGTGTTATCCTCTCCAGTTCTCCAAAACAGCTTTCATCTCCCGGATGTCGGTAGTACCTCCAAAGATGTAGCTGACAAGTTACCAGAAACTACAAACTTCAGCGTTGCCTCTTTCATGTGCTGACTGAGTCACACGAGCAGATGAGGCTCCCCCTCCCTTCCTCCCCCCCCCAAGATCTGAAAGCCCAAGCCGGGCAGAGTGAAGGGGGAAGCTGCTGCACGATTGCCCAATACGATCCCTTCCTTTCCTAAGGCAGCGGCAGGAAGTAGCTCTAGCCAGTCAAACTTGGAGCCGGCTGCCTGGGGCTCTCAAACTTTCTGTTGGCAGCCAACGAGAAACCCCACCCCACCACCCCACTGCCTGGGCGCCTCATGACTGGTGCCCAACCTCACCAAGGGGGAAAAAGGAGGGGAGGAGCGAAAGAAAGTGTGAAAAAGAAAGAAAAGAACAAAAGAAAAGAAAGAGTAAAGTAGTGAGATCCACGCAGAGACAAGTGTGTGTAGACTCCTCTTCCTTGAGGAAGTTCTCTGAGAAGGAGGGAAGGAAGGAGAGAGGGGGGAGAGAGAGAAAGAGAGAGAGAAAGAGAGAGAAAGAGAGAGAGAGAGAGAGAGAGAGAGAGAGAGAGAGAGAGAGAGAGAGAGAGACAGCCAGTACAGAGGTTCCCGGGGGGAGGGGGCTCCTCTCCTCAACAGCTCCCTAGCCCTACGCTCTGTGACAAGCAGCTGCTACAAAGAGGGGTGGGCGGGGAGTGGGCGCGGGCGCGGACGGGCACGCGCGCACACAGCGCTCCGCGCGCGCGCGCGCGCGCGCACCCCAGCGCCCCCGCGTGCAGGGCAGGCCCTTTCCCCAGGTCTCCAGGGGGCTCCGCCCGCCCTCCCCCCTCCCTCAGCAGCCGGAGGAGGGGAGCAGAGGAGGGGGCTGCGAAGCCTGAGGGTGGCCCTTCGCCCCCGCGGAGGGACTCGGAGGTGGGCGACCTCGGGGCCCCCCTCCCCCGCCTCCGCCCTCGTGGGGGTCTCCCCCCACCCCACCCCGGGCAAGGCGAACTCACCAGCTTGGGCTTGTTCTTGGTCTCCTCGTCGCCCGCGGCCCGGCCCCCAGCGCTTCGCTTGCCGCTCCGGCCCCCGCCGGGCTCCTCGCCTCCGGGCCCCGCTGCTGTCCCGGGCTGCTCCATCTTTCCCGGACCCGCGTCACCTGCGCCCCGCACCCCGCCCCGCCCCGCGCCGCGCGGAGCTAGCCGCTCGACCGCACCCGGTCCGCCACAGGGAGAAGCCAGCCCCCGGGGGCGCGGCCGCCGCCCTCAGCCTCAGGCCCCGGGGGCGTCCGCCCGAACCCCGGCGAGCAGAGCCGAGCCGAGCCTCGGCCGCTATTCCAGGAGGATGGCAGGCGCAGCGGGGGCCGAGCGGGCGCCTGTGGCTTTAAGAGGGCCTCGGCACATGTGATTCCGCCGAGTGGCCGCTGTCAGCCGCCCGGGCACTGAAAGCAGAGCTTCCGACTCGGCTGCGGAGTCGGGCCGCGCTACTGAGCATGCCCGGCGCGCGGGCTGGAGCCGGGCGACCGCGCTGCCTGCCCGTCAGCCTGTCCGTCCGCCCGGCTGTTCGTCCGACTGGCCGCCTGCGCTCAGCCGTTCAGAGTACGGCTTTCACTTCCCGGGGACGGGACAGCGGGCGGGGGGAGGGAAGGCCCGGCGAGGCGAGGCGCTAACCCGAGGGGAGGAGCCCATCTTTCAGATGGGGAAGCGGAGGCCGGCCAGTGGAGTAGTCCGAAGTTGCGCAGACAGCTGGAAAGCTACAGAAGGTCATGCCCGGCCAAGGCTACATCGACTCCCAGTACACCCCCACTTAGGACTCCTTGGAAGACAGTGTAGCAGACTGAAAAGTGATCTGGCCTCGAAGCTCACCTTGACCACCTACTGCTTGTGTGACCTCAGGAATCAGGGCTACCTACTTTACTACTTTGTTTGACCTTGGCCAACTCACTTGCCCTCTCTAGGACTCAGTTTTTCCCTGTGTAAAATGAGGTCATTGGAATAGATGATCTCAAAAGTTCCTTCCAAACTTAGTTCTGTTATTGCTTCCACAACTAGTATCCCTTGGAAAGCCACCAGAAGCTTGGCTTTTCACCCTCTTCTTTGGCCTCCCGCCTCAAGGCTCTCTGCTCCCAACTGTTGCTAGACAGTCGCCAAACTGATACTTCTAAAGTGCAAATGTCATGTCCCTATAGGTACTCGATAAACTCTAGGGGCACCCTATGGCCTCTAAGATCATCCTCTACCCGTTAAAGCCCCAAACAATCAGGCCCCAATCTTCCTTTTCAGTCTTATCACACAGTGCTCCTCCTCATGCATAGGTACATATGATCTAGCCAAATTGACCTTTCCCCTGTTTCTCACACACGACACTCCATCTCCAGTCTCTGTGCCTTTTTCTTAATTGTCTCCCAGGCCTAGAATTCACTCCTACCTCTCCAGTTTCCTTCAAAACTCTGCACAAGCTCCTGATCCCTCAGCCTTGTTTTTTCCCCTCCTCCCATATATTCCCCTTCTATTTATTTTTTATCCCTTTGTATATGTACATTTCCATCCGGTAGAATGTAAACTTCTCGAGGGCAAAGGCTTGCAGTTGTGTCTTTTTGTAAGCCCAGCACAGTGCTAGGCACTTAATAAATGTTGTTGCTTGGTTGTCTAGACAAGTTTACACTACCTATTTATTGGAATGCAGTGAGATCACAAGTCAGATAATCACAAAGTACTAAGTATATCCCCCTCTAATGCCTTATCCACGTAGGGTTGGAATACAAGCTCTCAAAAGTTTTACCAGAGAAGTACAAATTCTGGCTTATCCTACCATAATAATAAGCGATATTTATGCAGCACTTTAAGGTTTGTGAGGCATTTTACGAAGTCTCACCTGATCCTCAAAACAACCCTTATGAGATAAATACTACAGATCCCCAGGATTGTTCAGAAGACCTTGAGACTCCAAGAGGTCATGTAACTTGCTATGGAATCTCATAACTCCAAGTCCTGCCATTGGGACCAAACCATACTATTTCTTGAAGTAGAAAAGCTTTGAAATGGGTGTGGCTTGAAGGCCAGCAAGTACAATGCACTGACTCTCTTTGTCTGATAAGTTTACTGGGGACACATGGAATGCCTATGAACTGACTAGCTGCTTAAGTGAAGTGGAAATGAGCTTGAATTAACATAGATTTTGAACTCTGGGGTCTGCACACCAGGCTGATCACACACACACACATACACGGAAGAAAGGATTGCACTTGCAAAAATGTAAGAAAAAACTACCTAAAGAAGCTCACTAAAAGTACAATTGGCTTCCTGGGGAGATGATGAGTTTCCCATCACTGGAGGAATTTAAATGTAAGCTGGATCAGTTATCAGCTATATAGAGTAGATGGGATCCTAGTTAGATTTGGGCTTGATTAGATGGCTTCTTGAGAGCCCTTTCATCTAGAGGATTCTTTGGCCTTGTTTTCAGATGGGAAGAGAAGGGACTGTGATACAGGTGGCATTGATTTAGATATTGTCCTATGGTTTATGTAAAGGTGACATGGCTTTCTATGGAAGGTTCTGTCCCTGGTCAATTGTGTTTGTATTTTACTTTAAACTCAACTCCTGCTCTTTTAATTCTTGCTGTTTATTTTTCAGTATTTTGTTACAGTTAATGTCAACAACGAAAACCCTTTCAGACATGGGGGACATTGGCCTCTGTTTGAGGCCAACACACCAATATTACTGCTGTTCTCTAGCAAGGACACAGGTGATTCTGGAACTGGCACCACCTCCACTGGAGTCTTAGAAACAACCTTGCCCCACCTACATGCCTCTCTTTTCAGCTCTCCCTTCTTGGGAAACAAAGAAAGGCTGGGGCTGAGAGACACACCTGAGCCATAGGGCAGTATGAAGAAAGAAGATAACAGCCACAGCTGGGACTCTATAAAGTTATGCAAAAACCATTGGCCTATTTGGTTTCTTGTGTATTTCCTTCTCCCTTATAGATCCCAGTAGTCTAGGACCTAGAGAACATAAAAGAGCAAGTGCTGGGGGAGATACTTCAATGGAACTGTGACACCACCACACTGTTCCCCCTTCCCCTCCCATGGGGTTACTCCCTCCAGTGGGGTAAATTGGAAAACCTGCCTACCATCTTATCCTGAACAATTCAAGTGCCTGTCTTTCCACAGAAGATCTGCCCAATGCATTGGAGGCCTTCCTCTGGTACAGCATGGAGATTGTCCATCTGTTCTCTCTCATTCTTATTACATGATCAGCCACCTCCCTTTCTAATTATATTGTATACTTCCTTGATTTTGAGATAAGAAATGTGGTTAAATTAACACACATGAAGTAATTAGGGAACAGTTAGATGCTAGACTTCCCCTCTATGATGCCTTCCTCACAGAATCCCTAGCCTCTTTCAAAGCTCGGTTCAAGCACCCCTTCATAAATGAGGCCTTTTCTAATACTCCCAACTTGTAGTGCTCCCCTCCCAAAAAGTCCTTGGACTTCACATATATTTGTCTGCATACATGTTGTTTTCCCCATTAGAATGTAAGCCCCTTTATTAATGTTCTGCAAGAAATGATGGATAAAGAAGCAGTCAGGAAAACGACATACACAATGATTGCAACAATGTAAACTATAAGAACAACTGCAACTGAAGACCAGCCACTCTGAGTGGCTGAGGCCAGGCCAGGGGAAGGGGGACTAAACATGATGCTCTGCTTTTCCTTGGTTGTTTGGTTTTATTGCATCATTCTCATGGTTCCTCCCATTAGTTCTGATTGTTCTTTACATCATGACTAATGAGAAAATATGCTTAACACGAGTGTATATGTAGAGCCTATATCAGATTGTACACCATCTTGGGGGCTGGGGGTGAGAAGTGGGAGGGGGAGAAAACTTAAAATCTTATGAAGTGAGTGTTGAAAACTAAAACTAATTAATAAAAAATGAAAAAAAAAGTGAGTGATGCAGAATTGCAAAGCACAAGCATGGCCCCCCCAAAAAAAGATATGAGAAGAGAGCTCCTCTCACTACTTCGCAGAGGTGGTAGAATCACAGATACAGAATACTGCATATATTTTCCAGATCTTTTTCAATGTATTGATCTTGCTATTTTTTTCCTCTTCATCCTTTTTTTCCTTTAAAGAAATGTATTATATGGGAAAGCTTTCTGTGAGGGGAATAGAGAAATTTAAGTGATTTAAAAACAAGATATTTTTTAAATTACTTTAAAAAATTAATGTAAGCTCATTGAGGGCAGGGACTATCTTTGTATTCCCAGTGCCTAACATGTAGTAGGACTTTCCTTAATAAATGATTATTGGATGATTCAAAAATCATAGAAGCTAGTTTTAAAGTGCTTGTGAAATCACCTAGTCTAGTCTTCTAGGAATCATATTTGCATGGTTTTTCTCCCCTAACACCCTGGAGTATAATTCATCTCAACCAAGAGACAAACTCATTTCTTACTTTCTACCTGTCACATAGTAGGCACTTAATAAATGTTTATTGACTCTTGATTAGCTATGGCAACAATTCCACCTTGACTAAGTTTTTTAATCCCTTCTGTTTTCCTAGCACTGGGTACCTTTATTTACTCTCTACTGCCTGTCAGTGTCCCACAGAGCAGCATGCCTTCCTTTTCCTTGTTTTCTGATTTCCTCATTCTGTCAGTTGTTATTGTTTACCCTGTAAAATTACTTTGGATTTATTTTATATTTACTTCATGTGTACATATTGCTCCTTACCATCGTTCCCCAATAGAATGCCCTCAAAGGCAAGAATTATTTTTCCTTTTGTCTTTGTATCTCTAGCACCTAGCATAGTATTTAGCATATAGCAGGCTTGTAATAAATGCTTATTGAATGGGATTGCTCCAAATTTATCTTTTAAAAGCCCTTTCTGTTGTCTTTGGGAATGCAGTGACACGCTAATGGGTTCCAAGTGTCGCGTCAGCACCTTAGGCAGCAGCAAAATGAGGGTAGCCCTGCAAAAGCTGCCACCAGTGGAGTCAAGGACCAAGCAATTATCAGAGGTCAAAACAAGCTGTGCAGTCAGGAATTTGGACAGACAAGAAGAGAGTTTAAAAAGTATACAAATACAGAGTTCAAGGCAATTCAGGAATCTAGAAGAAATAGAAAAGTCCATACAAAACACTCATAATCCAATTGCCATAAGATAGACCTAATA